TTTATTTTATTTTATTTTATTTAAACAGGCTTAGCCTAATTATTATTTTGGCTTAAATATCTCAAATTGTTGCCTCGAAAAGTATGCTATTCTTTTTTTAAACTCGTGTTTCATATTTACCTCTTAGTTAGACAATGTTGTCAATGTATTTAGTTTAGGCGCAGCTCGAAATCGTTTGTTGTTACAAGTAGTTAACGTAGTTGTTGTATATGAGTTGTTGCTGTTGTTGTTTGTTAGTTCCGTTGATCGCAGCGTATTTGTGTTCACGTCGATCCGGCAGGAGGGCGGAAGGCTCAAGACGGTCTCAGGCTCGGGCTGCAGGCAGACGAATCATGTGAATGATGTGTGTGTGTGAGGGCTGAAGGCGTGTTGTGCTGCTTGGCTAGTGAGGCCTTTGCTTCGCGCTAGTCACACACATGTAATTTGAACACTTCTGTTATCGATTGGCGATTATCGATTGCCGATTAGCAGTTTCCAGGACGCATTTGCGAAATTTGGTTCGAATTGTTTTTTGTTGTTCGGCGCGTGGTTAATGTAATGTTATTTTGTTGTGGTTTTTTTTTTTTTTTTAATATTCGTCAGACGGTTAGCGTGATGCAAACGGCATGAGCGATAAACGGATGAGAGCGCAAGAGAGCGGGAAAGAGAGGGAGCAGAGCGCGTATACGTAATATTAAAAATACAATGGTATGCGTAAATATTGATAGAGCGAATCTGACTGCTTGTATTCTCTGGGTGTCTGTGTGCGAGAGTGTATGCTGTAAATGTATGTGTGGCTGTGTGTGTGTGTGTGTGTGAATGGTTCGAGGGGAAGGACAAATTCGCTTTTGGTGTGTGTGTGTGTGCTGCTGCTGCTGGGCACGAAGACGTTGGTGAAAGTGTGTGTGTGTGTGAGATTTTCTTAGAGCCGATTTTTTTCTTTGTATTTGTGTGTGTGTGTGTTTTGTCACACGAGCGCATTTTTTTTTAACTTGCGAAATATTTGGGTTATATTCATTTGTCAAGTTTTTTTTTGTATTCCATTACATTTTCAATTCGTTGGCCACAAATATGAATTGAATAGTAATTTTAATAAAAGCAGTTGGATTTTCTTAGTGGGTCACAATGAGTAAAATCGTGTGGAAAAATCAATATTTAAGCCATGCACTTCACACGCGCTTTCACTTTCAATACAAATTTCATCTGATAAGCCACCACTTCCTGTTTGCGTGCCTTTTTGTGAAATTTTCGAATTATTATTGCAAATTTTCAGCTAAACCAAATTCGCTTAGGCAGCGCTACAAATTCTGATACACAAAAAAAGTTCTGGTTTTTAGCACAGCGCGTGCCACACACATATATGTGGAAGGAGAGAGAGCGAGAGTAAGAGAGTGAGAGAGAAAGACACATACAAAAAAACACACACACACACAAATTGATACACACACACACTTGAGCACAAAAAAAACACTTTTTGGGCCTTTCGCTTGGATTTGGTTTTATGTAATAACTCAATAGGCATTCAATAAAAAATACTTTGATTATTCCAATTATATTTTCATTTTGAGCACACTCTGAGGGGGGATTATCTTAGGCACATTTTGTTGCTGTTATTTGTCGTTGGGTTGTGCAAACACTTGGCCCTTGTTGAATTTATTTCTTTTTTTTTTTTGCTATTCATTCACCTTCAGCACAGCGCTTTTCACTTGCAGTCAACTTCCACGGTCGATGTTCATTCGCGTTTTGGTCTACAGAGCCAAGGAGCAGCTAGGAAAAAGCCCACAAACGCTGTTCAGCTGCCAGCAGCAGGAGAGCGAATCGGGTCAGGCATCGATTTTGTGTTGAGGCGGCGCGTCCATTGTAGACCAGAGCAAAGCACAACAGAGCTTTTGCAGAGAGTGTAGACATTGACGAGCAATGGGCGAGCTGACTGTTGGAAATCATTAATATGTTATTTGAGTTGATGAAAGTATTGAAACTTCAAAGCTAATGATATAAATAAGAAACAATGATATAGCAAAAATAAGCACTTACTACTTCTTACTAAAAATTTACATATAATATTGTATAAAAATTGTATATAAA